GTGATTATCAGTATGAAACCATCACTAAGGCTCAGTATGTACTATGTTGCCCATATAGATGCCCAATTGAAAACATTTTATCCATTTATCCACAAACACACAATTCCTTCAGCACAAATAACTTCAAGTCAGAAGAATAATAATTTGAATACTCTAGTTCTGAGTGCTATTTACAGGACTGAAATTACTTCAGACTAAGTAGACAACCCTGAGGACAGCAAGGTTACCCACAATCAAATATACTTTCTTTGACTATCATTTCTGGAACTTTATGGCAAAATAACTTTCCTAACCTTGGGATAAAAATAAAGTATGCATTCAAGTAACTGGCCATGTAGTAAAGAAATCTTTTATCATATGGACTATTATCATCTGTTATTTCACACCAAATTATCCATATTTCCCTAAAAGCAAAAGAAAAATTTCTTCCAAACGTACCAAACATATAAATATTCTTTTTTTAAAAAGATTTATTTATTCATGAGAGACACAGAGAGAGAGGCAGAGACATAGGCCGAGGGAGAAACAGGCTTCCTGCAGGGAGCCTGATGCAGCACTCGATCCCAGGACCCTGGGATCATGACCGGAGCCAAAGGCAGAAGCTCAACCACTGAGCCACCCAGGTGCCCCCCCATAAGTATTTTTCTCTACCTAGTACTGAAAATTGAAACTAGGACACATTAAGAGTAAAATTAAGGTGTTTTATACCATAATAGTTCTTGTGAGCTTTTTGAAACATTAAATAATACATTCCTGGTTTCCTTACTCTAGGTCAATGGCTTTATCCTACTAGGTAAGAAGTAGTTCCTGAATTAGGTTACATGACCTGCGAGGTCTCTTCCATCTCTAGGACTGTTAGATTCCACTTAGTTATGTAAATTTTAGTAATTGTAACTTACTTCTGGGAATGTGTTAAATTCGGATAATTAGGGCACCGTTTTTGCATTAAAGTGATGTCATAAACTTTCTAAATAGTACTCGAACGGCCTGAGGGAGTAAACGTTATTTAATAAAAACTCATATAGTGCTTACAATATACCCAGCATTGTTCTAAGTGCTTTATACGCTCATTTATACAGTATTTTCCATATATTTAGTAACTAAACTCTTGTGAAGCTTAATGAGTATGTGAATTAGCATTGACCAATGAACAGAAGTGAACAACCACTTTCACTTACTCTCTGAAATTAAAATTATTCATTTTTAACAATTAGGATTATCCCACAATATTATGAATTTGGTCAGTTAATTCTTCTTCCTCAAGTCCTTCAATTGCTCCCAGGACAAACCAAATTCCTCCAAAAATCATAAAGGTACTGCAGAATCTACTCCCTGCTTTCCTGTTTTGGCTCATCTGTACCTTAAATCCTAACTATGTGCACTTAACAAAAATGTGTCCTGCTCCCTATATGTCCATCTACTTAGTGCCCCTTTGATTTGATACGCCCATCATCTTCCCTTAATCTGGCCAATTCCTACTTACCTTCAAACCACAGCTAAGATAGCACCTCCCCAGATAGAGCCCCCTGACTGCTCACCTGGGTTAAATACTGTGTTTTCTCTGCTTCCATAGCTTCCTGTGATCACCTCCAGAAAATCACACAGAAGGGCAGAGGATAACTGCTTATCCATTCATACATCTTTCCACTTGTCTATAAATTCCTTAAAGGCTTGAACTGTGTCTTTTATCTCTAAATCCCCAGAGCCTTGTACAAAAATTGATACACAGTATGAGCTCAAGTAAATAAATGCCTTTTAAATACACAAATCAACAAATGAATATGAGAGTTTTGTGAAATGATAGAAAGGCATCCCAATTTTATTTCTGAAGAAGAAAGGAAATTGCTAAAAATATCTATGGGTAGCTAAGATGCCATAATTTTATCTATGTAATTACCAAGAAATAATAAAGGCCATATATAATCACCTTGAGTTTTTAGGTCCAATGCCAGCCCTCAATGAAACCAAAAATGGAGGAAAACTTAGTTCCCTAATCATAGGAAAATTTGGCATTTGGCAATTGAGTCTTAACAACTGGAACTGCCAGATTCAGACCCAGTAGTCAGCAATTTCTAACTGTAGTTTAAAATGCATGGTAAACAGCAACAGTCCCCCAGCTAATCCAGACATCCAACCAGATGCTGTGAGTGTACCTCACAGGGGCCAGGCACTGAGATAACTGGCTCATAATAATTACTTTGATGAGGGGCACCTGAGTGGCTCAGTACTTTAAGCGTCTGACTCTTGACTTCAGCTCAGGTCATGATCTCAGGGTTGTGAGATGAAGCCCACAAAGGGCTCTGTGCTGGGGCATGGAGCCTGCTTGAGATTCTCTCGTCTCTCTCTGTCCCTCCCCCTCACTTGCATACTCATGAGCAGACTCTCTCTCTCTCTCTCTAAAAAAAAAAAAAAATGATGATAAGACAGTATCTTCACTTTCAATCCTGATGTGAATAATCTCTTCAACTGTTCAACCTAATTCTACCAGTTTATCTACTCCTCACCAGAAGCCAGTCATTCTTCTCAACTGTGAGGTTTATTATTGTAAGAAACAGAAATTGCACAGACCCAAAGTATCTTCTGCCCCAATGGAAAAGCCTATGATCCAAAAACTGCCAGAGTAGTGCTCCATAATTGGAGAGAAAAGAAGGAAACTGGCCAAAGATGGTGGTCTTTCACAAACACAGTGAAGGGCAGAGGGTACCTAAAGACACCACCAGCACCAGGCAGAGACTTGGAGATTCCAGGTTCAATTCTGCAGTTTTCTTTTTCTTCATTTCTACTTCCTTCTGTTGCCCTTTCTCTCCAAGAAAGTCTTGTGATTTGTTTTAATGCACTGACTCTCTCAGCAAAAATTCAGACTGGGAAACTACAGGATGAAAGACCCCCCTATCTTCAATGAATAAATTGCAAGGAAAAAAAAAAATCAAGGAAATAGAGAGGGAAAAAATCAAAGGGATGCCTGGGTGGCTCAATGGTTGGGCGCCTGCCTTTGGCTCAGGTCCTGATCCCAGGATCCCGGATCAAGTTCTGCATCACGCTCCCTGCGAGGAGAGTGCTTCTCCCTCTGCCCGTGTCTCTGCCTCTCGCAGTCTGTGTCTCTCATGAATAAACAAATCTTTAAAAAAATAAATAGGCTCAAAAAATTAATTAATTGCAATCTATAGACATGATTTGGATCTTGGATTAAACAAACTTCAATAATAAATGTGCATTACATTTATATATATTTATCAAATATACTTACATACAACATATTTATATATATAATATACATTTATACATTAGGTATAATATGGTTACATTTTTTGAAAGAATCTTTTTAAAAGTACAAAGTTTTTATGAATGAAATCATATGATTTGCTTCAAAATAATACAAGAAGAGAAGAAAATAGGTAGGAGATAAATGAAACAAAACTGGCTATGAGTCACTAATTATTGAAGGTGGGGGTTCATTATAATCTATTTTGTGAATGCTTGAAATTTTTCATAATCAAAAGTTGTAAATGTGTGAGAGAATATTCCTCCACAGAAATAATTCTCACTGAAAAATAAGTGTCCTTTGCTTCTTGAGTTTTACTATGAAAACAAGTCAAATGTAAGGAAAATAGGTATTTATCAAACATTAAATTAAATAATGGAATCCTTCATTAAAATTTGACACATTAGATTTTCTACTACCATAATCAAACTTTGAAGGATATTACTGTAGTCCTTTAAATTAATTTCTTAAATGAAAATTTCAACAGAGCTAAGCCCTTGGCTACAAAAACAGATGGCATTTTTCTATTTTTACATATTTTATACATATAGATCAAATGCCATAACTATCACAGCATCAATGTACAGCTTTAAGATATTTATTTATTTATTTATTCATTCATTCATTCATTCATTCATTCATGAGAGACACACAGAGAGAGGCAGAGAGATAGAGGGCGAAGCAAGCTCCTCGGAGAGAGCCCAATGCGGGACTCGATTCTTGGACTCCAGGATCATGCCCTGAGCCAAAGACAGACGCTCATCCGCTGAGCCACCCAGGCATCCCCCTTTTTTTTTTTTTTTTAAGACTACACATCTTAAAGTATTAATAAAAACATTTACACATGTGAAAATGTTCAACCAGCCTTTAGATTAGCAAAGTTTACATTTTCAACCACATGAGCAAGTCCTACCACAATATGTACTTAGAGGTCAATGAACTGTTTGCCAGGTTGATGTATGCGAATATAAAAATTGCTCAGAGAGCCGGAAATAATTACCTATCTTAGCAAGTAAGTTCAAAATAGTTTTCAGGCATTAGCTCTGGGTGCGTGATATTGATCTAAATGTGGGTAAACGGTAAACTTAAAGAGTATTTCTTAAACATAGTTTATAAACGTCCAATAAACAACACGGTTCACATTACACTAAAGGATTGCTACCAAAGAAGAAATAGGGGAGGAGACGCCTTTTCTGAGAAGCGGAGGTGAATGGGTCCATCTCCGGCGTCCAGAAACTGAGTGAGTTGAGAACACTGCAGTTTAGCTTATTTTCACAGTTTTAGTTAGGGATTTCTAGGTCTGTCTCTTGATTTTTTTTTTTTCTACAGTACTAACCTTGGTTGAAATCACGTATGAAGTCTTTTCGAGGATGAAAACAAGCACCACAATAATGGTGATGCAAATCCTATCCAAAGCCTATAACCCTTCTCGCCTAAGCCCGGCTTCTGCCCGACAGAGGGGAGAGGGTCTCCACCCCTTCGCTCAGAATGCCGCACTGCCACTGCCGAAGACATCCCGCACAAACTCCGCTCTAGCAAAGCTCCGGCCTGTGGTTCTTTGGGGGGGGGGGTGGCTCCCCCCACTCCCTTCTTCTTTGCAGAGAGCGCCATGTACGTCTCGCAAGAGGACTGCGCTCGTTCAGCGAAGACGCTGCATCTCCAGGGCGACGGAGAGCAAACGAGCGGTAGGGTGGGCCAGGCCGCGCCCAGCACCCCCCCCCCGGACCGCGCCGCTCACCTGCCCGCCGGCGGGGTGGCCCCGCACCCGCGTGTCGAGAGCGTCGTGTCCAGTTTCGTCTTCGCCGCCCGAGCGGTAGAGGAGCCGGAGTGGCACGATGCTCTGGCGCTCCAGGAAGCGGTTTTCGTCCCTCCTCTCCAGCTCCGTCAACGAGGCGTCTCCTCCAGGCAGCAGAAGGGTACGGAGGGAGTGGGGAGGCAAGGAGAAAATAATGACCCTGACCCACACATACTCTCACCTCCCGCGGTCCGACGTCTCGGCGATGCAAATCCCGCCGCCCCCTCCCTCCCCGTCCCCATCTGGGGAAGACGCAGGGACGCCAGCCGAAGAGCCCTGGACCAGCTCATCTGAGATCATCCAGGATCGGGGCCCAGAGGCACAGCACCCCTTTCCCATCCTCCGCATTCCTCTTCTTCAGAAGAGGTAAAGCAGGCATTGACCGAGGGCTTCCAAGGCATCCGCGCGCCCCCACACATGTATTTTCGCCTCACTTCTCACCACCCTTCCAAATAAAAAAAATCTCCCCGCGCACTCGGGAAACGGGGACGTCCGTTTCCAGCGCGCTAGAGGTCTGCAAAGACTCCTGGAAAATGGTACGTCCCGAAGCCACGGAGGGTGGCGAACTTACCTGCCCGGCCGCAGCGCGCCGGGGGGCAGGTCCCCAGGGCGCAGAGCAGCAGGAAGGGCACGGACGCGGCCGCCGCCGCCGCCGCCGCCGCCGCCGCCGCCTGCATGGTGCTGCCGTCAGCCCGCCTCGCTCGAGACGCTCAGCTCCTCATGCCCTGCAGCGGGGTCCGGCTCCCGGGGCCCGCGCCCCCTGGCTCGCCTCGGCCGCCCCCTCCCAGTCCCGGCCGGTGCTGCGGCGGCCGCGGCGCTGCAGCCTCCGCCGCGGCGCTGCCTCAGTGCTGCATTGTGCTCCGCGGGCGCTTCCGCTGGCGGGGGGAGCGAGCGAGTGCTGCATTGGGCGGTTGGCTGTAGCGAGGCGGTTTCTAGCGCCTCCCACCTCATCCCATGGCAAGGACTCCGGCGGGCGACGAGCGCTCAGCAGGGAGCGAGCGCCTGGTGCACTCGCCCCCCGCGCGCGGGCAGGGGCGCGCGCCGGAGAGTCAGCTGGGAAATGTAGTTCCTTCCCCGCGTCCCGCTCGTCTCCGCGACGGTGCGGACTGTCGCGACCTCGTGACCTCGAGGTCCTCTAGGGCCGGAAGAAGGGGGGAAAGGGCCGAAGAGAGGTCATCGCTGGCAGGCCTCCTGGGCACCGAAGCATCCCAACTGTGCAGCTGCGAGAGCCGGTATCTTCACTCTGTGCGTCCGCAAAGAACCATTAAATAAGGTTTTCCAGATTCAGTAGTTCCTTAGATTATTGTCAGCTGCATGGCCAATTAACCATTCATCCAATGCTGATGGAGGGCCTACTGTGTGCCCAGTGGCTCACGAGGACACAACCGTGCACAACACCAGGTGTAAGAAGCACGTGCGTGCTCTTAGATATGATGAACGCCGTTGTTGACCTTACAGTGTGAACGTGCCCTGGCAATGCTTAGAGGAGGATCACTACCTCGGCCCGGCGAGTCATGGAAGGAGAACATCGCGAAGGTCTACGCAGACACTGGAAGGGGGTCTTGGATTTAGCCCGAGTGTCCAGGACGTGTTCTTCTTTCTCTGATCTCTGCCTGAAGGAGAACCCTGAAGGAACTATCCTAACCTCTGATGGGGGCTACTAGAAAGGACAGTTTTGTTCAGAGTAGCAGTGTTTCTCTTATAGGGAAATTTGGCTCAGATGCAGCCAGGGATACAAGACCATTGGACCTAACAGGCTTCACGTTTTATCATTTCAACTTAAGTACTTTTGCTGCTGATGGATGGAACAGAGAGAACTTACTATTCACCTCAAATCTCTATTAGGCTGGATCTGTACTCTACTCTCCCGTCTTGCCCTTGACCCTCTTCTTTGTGAAAACCAGACTTGAGGAACTCTATCTTCCCAGGCTGCTAATTCCATTTTTTCTCTAATTCCAACTGTTAGAAACTCTTGAGGATAAGACAGTCATACAATAATTAATTATCACCATAATTAACACTTGTGTAATATACAGTTTTTCTGAGGTCACGTTTAATGCCGTTTGAACTTTGGATCAGCAATTGAATACATAGTATTCCCATTTCAGAGAGGAGGAAATTCAGGCTCAAACATGCATCTTGCAAATACTGCAACCACTGGCTGCTTGTAGCTACTTAAATTTGAATTAAGTAAAAGTAAATACATTTTTTTAAGAGTTTCTTGGGAAATTCTGATACCAGATTCCTTTTTTTTTTTTTTTTTTAAGATTTTATTTATTCATGAAAGACACAGAGAGAGAGAAGCAGGCTCCCTGCAGGAATCCCAATGCAGGACTCCATCCCAGGATAGGGATCACACCCTGAGCTGAAGGCAGCCACTCAGGTGCTGAGTCACCCAAAGTAAACAACTTAGAATTCACTTCCTCAGTCGCATTAGACACATTTCTATACTGCCTGTGACTAGCAGCTACTGTACAGTACGGTATAGAAATATAGAACATTTCCATCCCAGACAGCTCTATTGAACAGAAGTGGCTTAGAGAATTTAAAGGACTTTTCCTAAGGTCCCATAGCTAGTTATAGAGTAGACTGGATATCTTGCTTTCAGATCTGAGTCTTTACCCACTGTTCCCTGGTCAAACCTGTGTTTTTGTAGCCTCCATCCTAATTCTGGTCTTATAAAGCATGCAGAAGAATATTACATATGATGCTCTGTGGAGATGTTTTTTCTTTCCCCAGTGGAAAAAAACTTTACCTCTGCATCTTGTGACATGTTTTCAGGTTTCCATCATGATGATTTGAAAATACACTCCAATATGTCAATGTCCCAGCTAAAGTGTGGTGTTCATAATTAAATACAACTTAGACATAGTTTTATAAGCAAACAGTAGAGAGGAGAGGTACTCTTTTCTCCCTTGAGAGAACATTTTATCATACTTAGGTAACCACATCTCAATGATCTTATTGTCATTTCAAAAAAATTTACCCAAATTTTCAAATGCATGAGATACTTAAGAATTTTATATATGGCATGCAATTATAGCCTGAATGAGGGCTGAAAGATTTCATTGGTACACTTTACACCTTAATGCAGATTTCATGGTAGCTACAGTAAAAGAGAATTGAACCCCAAGGCCCTGCAGGCACCTGGGTGGCCAGGTAGGTGGTTAAGCCACAAACTCTTGGTTTCAGTTTGGCTCATGATCTCCAGGTTGTGAGATTGACCCTCGCATCTGGCTCCACACTCAGTGGGGAGTCTGCTTGAGATTCTCTCTCTCCCTCTGCCCTCCCCCCCCCCACCCAGCTTACACTCTTTTTCTCTCTCTCTCTAAAATAGATAAATCTTAAAAAACAAAAAACAACCACCCAAGAGCCTGGAAAAGCCGATTACCTTCATCGTCTACATAATAGACCTAAATTCTTAACTCAATTCTCTTATTTGGAATAATTAATTTTACAGGTTTTATAAATATTGTGCTGTTCTAAGTATACTCCATATTTTTTATTTAAGGGTCTCTTACTGTTATAAGCAATGCCTCACTGTGCATCTGTTGTGAGCATTTCTCTAAAACAGATACCAGAATGAGGAATTGCGTAGTCCATAGGGTTTACACATTATTTTAATGAATAAATACATGCCTTTAAATAACTTCATCTTCTTGGCACAGAATGGACATCCTGAGAGGCAAAGTAAATGAGAAGATACCTGTGCTATGAACTACACAGTTTCTCCAAGGCATGTGTTGTGGTGGGGAGGGGCAGGAGTAAAGTTGTCTCAGTGACATTTCAGAATAAAGGTTCTCATCCTATACGGAGAGAAAGTCCTTTGAATCTCTTTATAGTAATGTGCTTCTGGCCACATCTTGCCTATTTTCTACATACTTATATTTGATATTATATGGTTTTCAGTGAATTTTTTGATTCCCATCTAGTTAATTAACACATTCATCACCTCACATATATTTTTTGGGGGGATGGGAACATTTAAGTTCTATTAGCAAATTTCAATCAGTTAACACAGTGTTATCAAATATAGTCACCATGTTTTTTTACACTGATTCTCAGATATTATTCATCTTTTTTTAAAAGATTTTTAAATTTATTTATTCATTAGAGACACACAGAGAGAGAGGCAGAGACACAGGCAGAGGGAGAAGCAGGCTCCATGCAGAAAGCCGATACGGAGTTCGATCCCAGGACTCCAGGATCACCCCCTAGGCGGAAGGCAGACGCTAAACCACTGAGCCACCCAGGGATCCCCAGATATTATTCATCTTATAATTAAAAGTTTGTGCCATTACCAACCATTCCTTATTACCCCCACCTCTCAGGCCTGGCAACCAATTTTCTATTCTTTATTCTGTAAGTTCGACTTTTTTTTTTCTTTAGAGTCCACATATAAGTGATGCTGTGCAGTATTTGTGTTTGTCTGCCTGGCTTATTTCACCTACTAAAATGCCCTCAAGTTTCATCTATATGGCAGGATTCCTTCTTTCTTAAGGCTAATTTTTTCCTTTTTTTTTTAAGATTTTATTTATTTATTCATGACAGAGAGAGAGAGAGAGAGAGAGAGCAGAGACACAGGCAGAGGGAGAAGCAAGCTCCATGCAGGGAGCCTGATTTGGGACTCGATCCCGGGTCTCCAGGATCACACCCTGGGTTGAAGGCAGAGCTAAACTGCTGAGCCACCCGGGCTGCCCAGGGCTAATTTTCAATTGTATGCATATACCATATCTTCTTTATCCATTCATCTGTTGATGGACATTTAGGTTATTTCTATATCTTGGCTATTGTGAATAATACTGCAGTAAAAGAACATGAGAGTGCAGTAGTTTTGGAGGAAGCCCATTTGCCCCAGCCCTGCCAGTCTTAACACCAAGAGTTAGGAGTTAGAAAGTTAGAGAAAACTAAAGCCATAGTTTTTTTGCCCCTTTATGTTAACTCTGATTTATAGGGCCGCTTGTACTTCTGGAGTCTGGATTCACAGATCAAGTTCAAACCGATCCTTATGTCATCATCAAGGTCCTTGAGTGGTTTCTTGGTATTTCCGTTAGTTTTGTACATAGCCTCTTAGTTTAGTTCTTTAGTATGCAAATGCAAATAAGTTGTAATATTAGGAAAACTTTTGTTAGTTTTAAAAGATTTTATTTGACAGAGAGTGAGTGAGCATACAAGTAGGCAGAGCAGCAGGCAGAGAGAGAGAGGGAGAAGCAGACTCCCTGCTGAGCAGAGAGCCTAACACAGGACCCTGGGATCATGACTTGAGCCAAAGGCAGACAGACGCTTAACTGACTGAGCCACCCAGGAGCCCCAGAAAACTTTTGTGATTTTTTTTTGTTTTGTTTTGTTTTTGTTTTTTAAAGATTTTATTCATTCATGAGAGACACACAGAGAGATAGAGGCAGAGACACAGGCAGAGGGAGAAGCAGGCTCCATGCAAGAAGTCTGATGCGGAACTCGATCCCAGGTCTTCAGGATCACACCCGGGTCAAAGGCGGCGCTAAATCGCTAAACCCCCCTGGCTGCCCAACAACTTTTGTTTTAATGTCAGAATGAGCATATCCAATTTCTGCCGTACAGTCTTAAAGTTTTATTCACAGAGGTAAATAAATTGTGTGTGTTCTTTGGAAAATTTTCTATTCAGTTCCTGTACCCAGTTTTTTTTAAGATTTTATTTATCTATTCATGACAGACACAGAAAGAGAGAGAGAGAGAGGGGCAGAGACACAGGCAGAGGGAGAAGCAGGTTCCACGCAGGGAACCCAACGCGGAACTCGATCCCAGGTCTCCAGGATCACACCCCAGGCCAAAGAC